AGTATCTCCTCAGCATTAAGGCGTTTATTATTGATTTATTAATCCTATGAAGTAAGAAGCATATTCCCCCCTAGGCAAACATAGTCACCATTCTTATCAAGACCATAAAGATAAAACATGTGATTTACTTATATAGATAAATCAATACTATAATTCACAGAGATAAAATCGGAAGTAAATTCCTTGCGAAGTTTACGACTAAACTACTAGAAATCTATTACGCTAACAACAGAACAAATGGTTTGTATGAAGTTGACAAGGTGAGAAGAATAATCGCTGCATTGACAGAGATAGAGGCCCATGAAGTATTAAAATTATTTTGTTTCAAGACAAATTAATCTCATATCTAGAGCAAGAATCCTTACCTTTTGATGCTTAGGATCAAATCCCTATCAAAATCCAACCAAAAGCTCTCAATTTCCTTAGAAAATTGGATGAATAGATAAGCGAAATGGAGAGTGGAAGTGGTGTGTGGGGTGTAGAGAATGGGAGGGTTTGCAAAACTAAACCCTTAATATCTCATATAAATGTGTCTTCTTTCCCATTTTGCCCTTACACTTTCTTAGATTCAATCCTTGCCCTTTCATTCTTTGCAAATACACCCCTATCTCCAGTGTATTCTCCATGAAATTTTCTTACTTTTCACTCCTCACTTTTACTGATAATTAGGGGTAGAATGGTCACTTTACCCTTATGGAAAATTCCTTTAGAAATTTCTCAAGAAATTCAGCCAGCTCGTCGCCCTGACGAAGATTTTTCTTCACCTCGGCAAAAAATTACAAAGCATACGTCGTCATGATGAAACTTATTCTTCGCCCCGGCGAAGTCTGCACTTTTATAATTTCGCCAAGTCTTCACCAAATTCAGGGCAATCGCACAACAATATCAACATACCAATTTAACTAAGGGTCGACAAACAACATTAAAGGGCAATAAGCATATATATAAAGGACGTACCTTAAAGTGGGCGTTACAATTCTCCCCTCTTAAAAGAATTTCGTCCCCGAGATTTAGACGAACAATTCTGGGTAATGGTTCTGCATGTCTTGCTCTACCTCCCATGTAGCTTCTTCGACTTTGTGGTTCCTCCAATGGACTTTCACTAAAGGGATACTCTTGTTTCGGATCTCTTTAATCTGTCTGTCCAATATCTGAACTGGATGCTCTTCATACACAAGATTCTCTTCTACGTCTACGTTCTCTACGCTCAGTATATGGGTACATACTTCAGAAGCATCGAGACATGAAATACATTGGGTACCCTATTCACGCTAGGAGGTAATGCCAACCTATAGGCTACCTTTCCCACTCACTGTAATACTTCAAATGGACCAATGTATCTCGGTGCTAACTTTCCTTTGCCGCCAAAACGCATCACCCGTTTGTAGGGGGAAACTTTTAGAAACACTTTATCACCCACTTCGAACTCAATATCTTTTCTTTTCATGTCTGCATAACTTTTCTGCCTGTCTTGGGCTTGTTTCATTCTACTTCGGATCAACTTGACATCTTTTATCATTTTTTGAGTCATTTCTGGCCCAAGAGCTGTATTCAAACCATCTTTCTTGCCTATCTCATCCCAATGGAGTGGAGATCTACATCGTCTACCATACAAGACTTCGTAACGAGCCATCTTAATTGTAGACTGATAGCTGTTATTATAAGCAAACTTCACCAACGGTAACATCTCATGCCAGGATAGTCTATAATCCATACAGCATGCTCTCAACATATCCTCAAGGACTTGATTCGTTCTCTCCATCTGGCCATCTGTCTGAGGATGGTAGGCGGTACTAAAAGCCAATCTGGTACCCAAGTTCCTCTGTAAACTAGTCTAGAATGCTGAGACAAATATGGAATCTCTATCTGATACTACTGTCTTGGGTACTCCATGCAGTCTCACTATCTCTTTAATGTATATCTAGGCCAATTGATCCGAAGTAGTGCTCTCTTTTACTGGAAGAAAATTGGCTGATTTAGTCAGTCTGTCTATTATCACCCATATGGCATTATACACTTTCTGCACTCTTGGGAGACTTGTAATAAAATCCATTGAAATACTCTCCCATTTCCATTCACGAATACTAAGTGGCTAAAGCAACCCTGATGGCCTTTGGTGTTCTGCTTTCACTTGTTGACAAACCAGGCACTTAGTTACAAAATCTCCAATATCTTTCTTCATACCTGACCACCAATAGCCTTTCTTTAAGTCTTGATACATCTTGGTTGCTCCAAGATGAGCAGTGTATGGGGTGTCATGAGCCTCTGTAAGAATTCTCTTCTTCAACTCATCATCTTGAGGAATGCACAAACGATTCCCAAAACGGAGGACACCATCCAACAAGTGGAACTCTGATATCTTACCCTCAAGCACTTGTTGACTTATTATCTAACACCACTCATCGATAACTTGCCTCTCTTTGATTTCTTCTAGTAAAGTAGACTGAACCTCTAACCTGGCAATCCTTCCTGGTATGATCTCAATATGTTCTTTGCATAATTCTTCTATTAATTCTTCCTACCTTGTGAGACGGGACAAATAAGCTTTCCTGCTCAAGGCATCAGCTACTACATTGGCTTTTCCCAACTGATACTAAATCTCACAATCATAATCTTTAACCAGCTCCAACCATCTCCTCTGCCTCATGTTCAACTCCCTCTGAGTAAAGAAATACTTCAAACTCTTATGGTCGGTGTAGTATTGCTCTTGGCACCATATAGGTAATGCCTCAAAATCTTTAATGTAAAGACTACAACTGCCAACTCCAAATCATGCGTAGGGTATCTTGTCTCGTACTCTTTTAATTGACGAGAAGTATAAGCTATTACCCTATCAAATTGCATCAACACTACACCAAGTCCCTGCAATGAGACATCTGTATAAATATCATAATCTACACCCTCATGTGATAACACCAAAACGGGAGCTATCGTTGATCGTTTCTTTAACTCTTGAAAACTCTCTTCACAGGCATCTGACCATAGAAAAGGAGTTCTCTGTTTGGTAAGAGTTATCAACGGCTTAGCCAACTGAGCAAATCTTGCTACGAACCGCCGATAGTAGCCTGCTAGTCCCAAGAAACTTCTAACCTCTTTCACTGTCTTCAACCTTTACCATTCTAGGATTGCCTTCACTTTACTAGGATCAACTAATATCCCCTCTGTAGAGACAGTATGGCCCAGAAATATCACCCGATCCAGCTAGAACTCGTACTTAGAAAACTTAGCATACAACTTCTTTTCTCTCAATCGCTGCAACACAAATCTTAAGTGTCCCTCATGCTCTTCTCTTGACTTAGAATAAACCAAGATGTCATCAATAAAGACCACTATGAACTGATCCAGACAATCATGGAACACCCGGTTCATTAAGTCCATAAAGATTGCTGGGGCATTGGTTAACCCAAAAGGCATCACCGCAAACTCATAATGCCCATATCTTGTCCGGAAAGCAGTCTTAGCAATATCTTGTTCTGCCACTCTTACTTAATGGTAACCCGACCTCAAATCAATCTTCGAAAATACTGCAGCTCCTTTTAGCTGATCAAATAAATCATCTATACAAGGTAGCGGGTACTTATTCTTCACTGTCACTTTATTCAACTCTCTATAATCTATACACATCCGTAATGATCCGTCTTTCTTCTTTACAAACATAATTGGAGCTCCCCAGGGGGAATGACTAGGTCGGATAAAACCCTTATCTAAGAGCTCTTGGAGTTGCTTCTTCAATTCCTGGAGCTCGGCTGGAGCCATTTGGTAAGGGGCTTTAAAAGTCGGTGCTGTCCCTGGTGCTAGTTCAATACTGAACTCTACTTCTCTTTCCGGAGGCAAACCCGATAAATCTTCCAGAAATACATCTAAAAATTCCTGGACTACTAGCACATTCTGAATCTCTGGTTGTGGGACGTCAATTCTTTGCACCACATGGGCTATATACCCAGAACACTCTTATCTTAACATCTTTCTAGCCTTTATGCTACAAATCAACATACTCAACCGATGGTCCTCTCCAAAACTGAACTTATCTCCATTATCAAGATTGAATCTCTCTTTTTTCTTCCGACAGTCAATTTCTACTCCATACCTCCCTAGGAAATCCATGCCCAGGATTACATCAAAGTCGGACATATCAAATACTATTAAATCAACTACTAACTCCCTTCCATGGATCACTACAGACTCTCCTGGAAGTATCTCATGGGTCACCACACTAACCCTATCAGGTAACTCTATCTTAATGGGTTGGTCTACTACAACAGGCTTTACGCCTAACCTTTCTATCATCCCATGAGATATAAATGAATGAGTGACTCCCGAATCAATTAAAACATATAAAGGAACTGCATGAAATAATAACTGACTAGTGATAGCTGATGGACTGGCCTCTGCTTCACCTTGAGCTACTTTAAACACTCTAGCATTAGTACCTCTGGGAGTTTGTGCTGCAATGGAAGAGGAGCTTTACAATCTTGTGGCAATGGGTTCTACTATAGGCATTTAGATTTTCCACAAGATCCGAGTAGTAAAAGTTAGGATTGCATATGGTAGTTTCCTTCACAAGGTCACGAAAAATAATTGCTAAACCTTCTCTATCACTTGACCTAATTTTCGGTTACTCCATTTTGACGAAGCAGCTCCACATCTTTTCCAGTATTGATAAGCAGCTCTATTTTTGGCTGGTCTTCCTTAATCTCCAGTTTCGCTCCCCTTTGATTTTCTTTCGTTTAGTTAACTTCATTTTGATTCTTTCCTTTCACATCCCTCGAACAATTTGGTGCAGAGCTCTTGAAATGAGGTACATAGCTGAGTGATTGAACTAATTTGTTGGTCTTCCAGTGTAATTCTCGAAGACCAGGAAATTCATTAATTCAACTTTAAACAGAACTTCTGTTCCAATAACTATTTTCAGTTTCCCATTTTTTAATCTAATATCAAATAAATGAAGGCGTGTGTATAACATTCTTAACCAAATTTCATCTCTGCCACAAAAGTGTAAAGCAATTCATCACTCGGAACATTTGTAAAATCATACACAGTGGTAAAAATAAACAAGCAGCCATTTTACACAATCAACCTCTCTTAATTAATTCTCATATTAAACTGGCATATAAATGAAATCCTTGCAAAGGTATCTCGAAATAGCTACAACGCAATGACAGAACAAACTGCTTGTATGAAGGTGAGAACGAGAAGAATTACAGCTGCAATGACAGAGATAGAAGCCCATGGAGTGTTGAAATGATTTTGTTTCAAGGCCGCCCTCCACTTGTTCCACGGGGTTCCACAGTAGGCGTTTAGTTGATTAACAAGATCTGTATAGTAAAACGAGTCAGTCTTTGTATCACTCTCTTGGCCAAGCTTCTGAAAAACAGCTGTCCCTCCTCCTTTACCCCAGATATAATCTTCAATAACTCCATTTTGAATGAGTATTTCCTCATCTTTTCGAGTGCGAACAAGGCGATTCATAAGTACAATGAAGTCATTCGAATATCTGGTACTGCAATTTAATTGCTCATAAGCTAGGAGATTCATGAACAAGATTTCCGTATCAGCAACTATTAACAATTCTGGAATTTCCAGAATCCCATTTTTGAATGTGATATCAAAAAAATATTTGCTTGAACCAACCTTAAACTTGACTCCAGCTTGCTCAAGTTCTGTTATAGCAGGTGTGGTTGCAGTTTTGAATTCATTTTGTGAGTGCAACTCTGGTGGTTGAAGACAAAGTCTTAACCAATCGAGTAAGTGTTTCCCTTCAGAAAAACAGTCTTCGAGAAAATTTTCTTCTATTTTCAATAGACAACAACCAACCATATCCATCTTCAAATTACGGATTAGTTTGAACAGGGAAAGTTCATCAGGCATTCCCTTCATGGGCATGGCTAGCTCAAACAAGCCCTTAAGCATGAACATTGGAAGTTGATTTTCTAGCTTCCATATGTCAGGCCATAAATCAAAAAAGATGGAAGAAGATATATATGCAGACTGCCCTCCACTGGAGATCCTGTTGCACTTTAGTAAAAATTCAATGACAAAGGCTGCATCAAGTAATATCATTTCTACAAACTCATTACTTTCTATACTAATGGTTTCTGCATAACATTCACGCAGTTCTACTTCTTTATCCTTTACATATAAAAGAAAATCCATAATACTTTTCTCTGTTCGGTGAAGGAAATCTCGTAAGAATGCCAGTTTTTGTTCTTCCATGGCTTTTAGTTCCTCTATGCCATGGTGAAATGGACCGATGGAAACTGCCCGAGGAGAGCATGCACTTTCGTTTAACTGTCGGATTCGTTGAGAAATTCTATAAATGCAACACTTTCTGGACAAAGGATGCAAGGTTCTAAGCTTCCCATTCAATGTATCCGCCAGTTTCTCGATATCAATTGATGCATGCTCCCTTTTCTCCATAATTGCTTTCTCTATCCACTACCAATTGTCAATGAAAAAAGAAATTAAAATCTACTGTCATACACACGAAATTGTTGAAATTTACATTCCTTTCAATATGATAAGAGCTCATGACAACAAGCAGGACTTACCTGCGGATGAAAAAGTTAAGGAAACGGATTCAAGAAACTTAAAGACCGAGGGAAAAAGACCTTGAGATTTGAGCTCTGCAATTAGCTAAATCACACTGACTTATATAATCAGAAACTTGCGAATTTGTTCTTAAATGGAATTCTTCTCATCATGGCGTAAACCATGATTAAAATAAAGTTGTCGGTGGCTTTTAATCTGAACCTTACTATTACGGGTCAAAAGAAATATCAATCTTTCTTTCTTTCAAGTGTAATCAAGCCGAGCCGAGTATTGAGAGGCTCGAGCTCATCTCGGCTCGGCTGGACTAGTCGAAGCTCGAGCTCGACCGAGCTTCAATTATTGAGCTCAAACTCGAGCCCGACTCGGTTGTAATCGAGTCAAAATCGAGTTCGAGCCTGAGCTTGAATCACCTGACTTAGAAAAGAGAGACAGAAAGGAAGGAAGAAAGAATAAAGAGGAGAGCGAGAAGAAATAATCACTCAGATTAACACCGGTAACATGTTTAATCATATCAAATCTATTAAACACCATCAGATTTCAAGCAATAAACAACTCCACAAAGCCACCGACCATGCTTTTTTACATTAAATTCTTCGAATTTGTAGCTATAAACATCTTATTCATAAGCTTAATCACTGTTTCTAAACAAAAACCAATTCATTTGTAAACTTAGAAACCAATTAAAACGAAACAAACCATGTAGAAATCAGAACAAAACATAAAGGACTAAACTTTCATGAATCTTAACAATAACCCAGATGCCCAAATCACAAACAATCACCAAAAGAATCAAACTTTGACCTCAACTTGAACTCAAAACACCACTCAACCAAATCCAAAACCGACCAAAGCCACTCCTTAAAACACAAACCAAACCATACTTTGAACAAAAACAAACACAAACCAAACCATACTTTGAACAAAAACAAACACAAACCCACATCAAAACACGTCTTGTTAGCTCTAACATACCTAAAAGTGAAGCTTAGCCGAGGCACTGACGGTGTTTCAGCTTCTTCTCTAAGAGTTAACAAAACCAACCAAGCAACCGCTTGTATTCAAGATATTGGCTTTAGATCCAAAAAGTGAAGTGGGGTTTTGTGGAGAAAATTTAGCTGCCCGGTCCCCCAAGTATCTATTTAAGAAAATGGCCTTGAAACTGTTCATCAAATTTTTTATAATTTAGAGAAGATGACGTGGCATAGTTAGGATTAATTAAACACGTAATATAGGTTAAAATAAAAAGATTAAAACATATGTGGGCCGAATTAGAAATAATAAAAGTTTTCAAAATTTGAAATTTCGCAAAACAAGCGCCACTAACTATTCACCTCGCTTAATCGAAATTCATCAGTTGAAAACGCGATTTCTTGAACGAAAAGGAGACGCGATTTTTTTCGATCGAACACCAATTGATTTACACCCTAAATCAATTTCTTGAACCCTAAACCGAATACAGTCGCGATTTTCGGCGATATAGTCGCGATTTTCGATCGATTTGTTGAACCCTAAAAGCGATTTCCTTAACCGTAAACGAAAACTGTGCCATTTTCGGCGATACAGTCCAGATTTCCAATCGAAACTGCAAACTTTGACACCAAATTCAATCCAAAACCATGAGTGACACTGACAATGAGGAGGGAAGCCCAACGCCACTTTGAATCCTAGATTCCGGTGGCGCAAGCAGTTCAATGGCTGCTCCGGTGGATCATCTGACCATTGAAGGTGGTCCACACGTAGAGGAGACGCCGGCGGCACAAGAACAGAGGGAAGAACCAGCAAAGGGGTCTGAAGACGAGGAGTCAGGCGAGAATTCAGGCCAGAAGGAGGATTCCGGAGAGAATTCAGGCTAGGAGGAGGATTCCGGCGAGAATTCAGGCCAGGAGGAGTCACCGGAGGATCCAGGCGACGAGGAGAAGGCTGGCGAAGATACGGTACATAGTTTGGGAATGTTGCTTGTAATTTCGCTTAAGCGATCATTTGTATCGTTTAAGCGATTATTCTGTTTTACTCGTGATCGTAGCAATGATCGCTTAATCGATAAAAATGATCGCTTAAGTGATCTGAGATCTGGGCAGATGATTCTGCCTAGACCAAAGATTGCTTAAGAGATCATGAGTGTTTACTCTTGGTCGCTTAAGCGATCTTAGGTCTGGGCAGAATCACAGATTAAGAGATTCTCAGTTAACTTTTGGTCGCTTAAGCGATTTAAAATCGCTTAAGCGATCTTGCATGAGACAGTAAAGATCTCTTAAGCGATCCGAGATCGCTTAAGCGACTACAGTGGTTTTGGTTTATTTTTGTTGATGACATTTTATTTATATCGATTGTGCAGATTGTGCGGACCGTAAACTGTAGAGAGTACGAGTTGGAGCCTATAAGTGAGAAGGTACCCTACTTCCCTGCAAGGGTGACGGTGAGGTCGAGCTGGGAGGTTTTTGACAGAATAAGGGCCATTTTAGCTAGAATGAGGCACGGTGAAAGAGATTTTGGTGACACTTGTTTCGGTCAGTTTTTAAGAATCGGAAAAAAGTGGAAAAAGTCATTTTGGGGGCAGGGAGTGCATTACATGTTGATGCACTCAGTAAAATGCAAGAAAAAAAATGAAATGTGGTTCGTGGTGGAGGGAAAGCCACTACGGTTTGGTATGATGGAGTATGCGTTGGTGACGGGCTTAGGATGCGGGAAAGTGCCAACTAAGGCGGAGGCAGACGCAGTAAGGACGAGTGCGGGAGCCATAAACTTTTGTAAAAAGGTTTTGAAAGGGGCAAAGTCTATTACAGGAAAAGTTTTAGAGAAGAGGCTATATACAGTTCGGTTTAGTGATGCAGAGAAGATAAAAGTGTGCTTGATATTGTTTTTACATTCTATCTTATTGGCTGGTGACTCAACAAAAGCTGTTGAGAAAGATTGGTTGCTGTTTGTAAGCGACTTGGAGTTCTTTAATTCTTATCCGTGGGGACGGATATCATTTGAGCGAACCATCAAGAGCCTGAAAAAACCAGACATGGCGTTAAAGCATGTCGAATGGGGCGGGAAGGCTAAACCAAGCACGTATAATTTGTTTGGCTTCCCATGGGCAATGCAGGTAAATATTAATAGCTCTATGTTATATTTTTTATAATATGTGTGTTTGAATAATGACATGGACTGTTTTTTTACAATGTAGGCTTGGATGTACGAGGCCATCCCTGTCTTCGCTAAGGCGGGGGGGAGGAGCAACAATGTGAATGTGCAACAGCAATTTCCTAGGATGTTGCGGTGGCATGTCGAGAGCTGTAACCATTGGGATTATGGCCAATTAGAGATTGAGATTCAAGCAGCTGGGGTAAGATTGAAGGATTAAGCTTTTGAATATGCAGTTGCTTTTTTATTTTGCTTCAATCTGATTGATTTTTATTTCTTATTGCAGGGAGTCGTCCGTCCCTTTTTGACCGCTATTGGGGATGAAGCGGAAGAGGACTATGTCACATCTTTCAGAGCAATGGAGGATGAAAGGGATGAACAGATAGACCGCCTGATGCGGGACCTAAAAGGGGTCACGCATGTGATGGCAGTTGCAGGGCCATTGCTTGACAATGTCGTTGATGCTGAGGATAATGAAGCTCGGGGGGCCGAGGATGAGGAGGAGAAGAGGGAGGAAGAGGTTCGTATGCCTCAGCAAACCGGTACAACAAGTACCGCTTTGCCGAGACATCGGCGTAGGGAGAATGAGGTTGTTGACCTCATAAACGGCCTGTTTGAGAGTTTTACAACAGCCGTTTATGCAAAGCTTGAGAAGATGGAAGAAACAATGAAAAGGGTGGAGAAGAAAGTGGATAAGGTGGGAGGGAAAGTAGGTAGAATGGAGGGCGAAGTTGGTACAATGGAGGAGGAAGTTGGTGGAGAATTAAAGGCGGTTGAAGTGCAAACTGGCTTGAAAAGAGAGAGCCGAAAGAGCAAGTTTGTGAAATCGCCTTACATGGTAGTGACACAGGTAAAGAAGAAGAAAATGAAGAAACAAATGGAGGAACAACCAGAAAGGGAGGAGGTTGAGGAGGTTGGTGGTGGAAGTGGGGCGGTGATAATGGAGGAGGGGGAGTTGGGAGGCGAAGGAAGCGGGGATGTAAAATTGGAGGAAGGGGGAGGAAGTGGGGAAGGGAAATTGGACTCAAATGTCGATTTGTATAGGCCAATAGAGGAAAGGAAAAAACTCTTTTATGCCTATTACAATGGATCGGGAATTGATGGCCATATAAAGTGTAAGACAGGGGATTATCCCCGGGAATGGTTTCAGAAGTTGTTGACGATGGGGACGTGGCTTGAGGACTCGGTGAGTTATTTTCACTTAATTTTCCTTATTTTTGCCTGTGTTTTCCATACTTATCTTGTTGTTTTTATTTGATGCAGCACATCGATGAGATATTAGCACTGATGAGGCTACGATAGACTAGTGATGGTGATCTGTTGTATCCTGACTGTACTATCACCGATGTGGCGTTTGGGCAAACGCTTGTTTCGGCATATCGCACTTTAATTAAAAATATCGTTGCTAGTGGTGTAGTAAAAGGACCGAAGCGAAAACGATTAGCCGCACAACAGTCGGACTGCATCCCTGATGATTTCCGGTTTGATGACAGGATTATGCAGTACGTAAAGGGGGATCGGCCCAAATATGGCCACGGTTGGGCCTTTGTTAAAAAAATATAATACATCATCCTCATCAAAAAGATGCACTGGATAGCAGTCGTTGCGCATCTAGAGGAGGGGTTTCTGAAGATCCTTGACTGCAACCCAACCATTTGTCGAGACAAGCAGTTGGAGGTCGAGTTGGACCCACTGTCCAGGTTGTTCCCGCGGCTGTTNGGCTACTTTTGTCAAAGCATTCTTCCATGTCTGAATCTTCTCTTCAAATTGTTCTTCTGTCATTTGTAGCTTTTCTAACTTCTCCTTATTAAAACTTTCTACAAGCTTGGCAAATTCATCCCCAAAAGTTCCAGTCTGATTCCTTATATTTGATGGATCTACATGATAGAAAATTGGTAGGACTATCTGTTGGTGCCTTTGTTTGCATTCAATGATCTTCGTAAGTTCTTCAAGGCACCATCTAGAAGAGGCGTACCTTTCTGAGAAAATGACAACTAAAATAGCTGATTCTTCAATTGCATTCATAAGAGATGACGAAATTTCATCTCCTTTCTTAAGCTCGTCATCAAAGGAAACAGTGATATTTTTCTCAAGCAAAAGTCCACGTAAAGTGCTGGCAAAACAATAGCGAGTGTCCTCCCCTCTGAAATTAATGAAAACATTGTGCTTCTTTATTACTGAAGGAGTAGTGGAAGAAGAAGAAGAAGATGCCATCTCAACAAAACTCAAAACAACATCTCAAGAACACATCTCAAAATTATAAAAGCATATCATTGGTTAATCTCTAAGCAACTTCCCTGAAACTTCAATAAAGTCTATGCCACTCAATTTAGAGAAATTTTCATGAATGACCATTTCTTAATGGTGACATTAATTAATTGACTGGGAGTTGTACCAAATAATGTTCTCACCTAACTTTCCTCTTTTTTAAATTAATTACTTAGTCTTCGCCGGACCATAGCTTTTTTGTTTTTTTTTTTTTTGGCCAAAAGAATATGGAATACATGAAATTGAATGGTTAAGATCTCTCTATTTATTTGTTTTCCCTTCTACTTCCAAAACACAATTTTTTTTTCCCTTCTTATTCCTTAAAAAAAAATAAATAATAAATAAAAAATTCCTTTGGACTCTCTCATGGTTTCTCCGGTTCTCCCCAACATGTCTTCTCGCAACAGAAATAAGAGTAATGAGTTTTAATATTTGGTGGATATCCCTCTTTATCATTTAAAAAAAAAAAAAAAAAAAAAATCTTATACTATTAAACAAGCCAAATGAAATCCATTAGCATTTAACAATACCATTAACGTATTTAATGCATTTAATATTTAATATTACC